CTGCACAACTGCCCCTCTCTCCCTGAGCTTCCACTTCCCAGGGAATTATGGGGTGCTGAGCAGGGATGTCTGAAGCCCAAAGCCACCAGCACAGGGATCCAGCCTACCTCAGCCCCTACCCTCCCTGAGTGAGACGTACCTGGTCAGTGAAACCCGCTTTTAAATTCTTTCAGTGTGTTCCCTCCACCAGGGGCACCAGATCCCCCTGCTGGTCACTGGAGGTATCCCACACAGGGATCTTGGGCAGAGACAGCCTGTCTAGCTCCGTAGCCTCTTGCTCACCACTCTAATCCTTCCCTGGTTCCTAGAAGTAGTAGACAAACTAAGCCAAAGGGATGGGTGCTGGGGTCTTGTTGCCAAGTCTGCATCCAGACAGAATCCAGATGGCCTCTTACTGGGCAGTGAGTGCTCATCATCTTGGCAAACCCACGGGTTTCTAACTTCAGGGGCCTGGGAGAAACTGACCTGAGTTTGGTAGGTGAGAGATTGTCGCAGTGTGTGACCATGACGGTGTAGAGGGTGAACGATTACTCAGAGATGAGATTTAGTTCAATCGGGCGGACGGTCCACAGGGGCAATCTCAACCGAGAGCACCCAGCATCAGGGGGACCCCTGGAGAAGCCTTGAAGCCAAGAGCTCTCCAGCTTTGAGAGTATCAGTGTATGTGAAAGAAGCAGAGGAAAAGCAGTTTGGCCAAGGAGCTGTCTCAGGGCCAGGCAGTTTTCTTGGGGGGAGGGGAAGGACAACAGCCGGACAGCAGGCCTCTCTAATCTAAACCTCGTGCTGTTTAAGGTTCACTTCTCCCAAAGCCTGTGTGCTTTTGCCCCACAATTGAACCATTCACTCCTCAGCGAAGTCCCCCAGGAGGAATGAGGTCAAACGCCTTTGTCTCATTTACTTGGTGAGCCTGCTGCGCCCTTCTCTGGACAGCCCCGGGGCCAAGGTCTAATGCTGGCCCTCTCTCCCAGGTGTCAAGGGTTCAGGTCCCAGTCCCTCCTCCCCCAGATGTCGGCAGGCCGCTCTCTACTCCAGAGCCTGAATTTGCGAGCCAGGGCCACAGCGCACCCCTCTGTTCGCCTCCCAGCCAGAATTTGGCTATGTGGGACAATGGGTATCAACAAAGAACAGCTGAGGCCTGGATCCTGCTGGGTTCTGGGTGGGCCAGGCCCAAAGGGCCTCCTGAACAAGCACCCCAAAGAAGAACAGGGTACAGGGAGCCCAAAGGGGTTGGGCTGCCCCACAGCCCCCCAAGCTTGTCATTCTTAATGCCCTCTTTCTTAGGGGGCAGGTACAGTGTTCTGATGATACTTGTCACAGAACCCTGGTGTGTCGAACACAGAAGAGAGCTGCTTGGGGTGTAGCTGGGATGAAACCTGGGCTGCTCAACTACACATGCATCCCGGGGACCCCCCACAACCCCTAGACCTCAAGAGGCACAATTCAACCAGCACTGAAGATATCTACGGCTCCATTCATGGCAGAGAAACTGGGTTTTATTGGAAATGAGCCCCTAGACTCAAATTGTCAGTACAGATAATAAAGTAGTTAGACATTAAGAAATCTTGACATCCAGGTGTGGTGGCACACGCCTGTAACCCCAGCACGCGGAAGGCTGAGGCAGGAGGATCACTGTGAGTTTGAGACCAGCCTGGGCTACATAGTGAGTTCCAGGTCAGTCTCAACTACATAGTGAGACCCTGTCTCAAAAAACCAAAGCAGAAAGAAATCTTGACAGGGCATTTTGCAGAAGGGTGTAAGCCTGAGGTAGCAGGCATGCAGGACAAAGAAAGGTTGCCCCTTCTAGCTCCAAAGCAGAAGAAACAGCTGACCTTTAAATTCATGCTGAGGCTGGGGATTTAGCTCAGTGGTGCCGCCGCAAGCACAAGGTCCCAAGTTCGATCCCCGGTACCAAAAGAAAGAAACTAAAAAACAAAACAAAAACCAAAAACAAATAAATTCATGCTGAATCCAAGGGTTTACCATCTATGGTGGTTGACTAACTCCAGTGGTGCAAGGGGGCGGAGTAAATTGGGGGCGTGGTGTGGTCTGGACTGAAAAGTCCTTGGTTCTTTGCCTTGGAAACCAGATGTGTTCTGGGAAAAGGTACATAGTCACCATTTCTTGGAACTCAGGATGTTAACAGGGGTGGGGTGGACAGTGAGTAGGTGGCCAGGTCATTTAAATTCAAAATGGGGTTGCTTTGGCTTTGTGCTGGGACAGAAAAGACACAGCCTCTCTCTCACAAGTTGGATCCAACATCACTCAGCAAGGCAGGCTTTCAAAACCCTAGGCACATGGGCTGCAACTCAGGGCCCGTCACTGCTGCCCACATTTGGGGGCAAACTTTAAGTCTGGGGCTCCACCAAGATTTGCCAAGACATCTGCTGGTCATCTGGGAGGACACTAGCCCTTGCTCCAAATGGAAATATCTCCAAAAGTTAGGAAAGTGAGCTACAGGGCCCACCTCCACCCTGCCGAGGCCCCTGTACCCAGCCCTGTGGCTGCGGTAAACGAAGCTCCTTCGTAGCATGGCAAGCTGCTTCTGTGCCCTTGTGGTTTTTCAACAAGCATGACGGGACCCTGATAAAACCACAAACGCAGAATGCTTGCACAAGCTAATGGAGCTGTTAGCAAGAAGACAATCTAAATACCCTTTCTCTTCACTTGCTCTTAGTTGACTTAAAAGACCACTAATTTTGTTTTTTATTTTTTAATATTTTTATTGGTACATTTTAGATATGCAGTACAGTTCCATTCATCATTGGGATCTTGTACCTTTACGTGACAGGTCTCGGTTATTTTTTCCCCATTCCCCTAGCCTCCCTTCCCCCCTTCACCCTTCCCTATTTACAAAGGCTTTGTTTCCATTTTTTCCCTTTTCTCTGATTTTTTCTCTTCCCTTTTTACCTTTTCCCCACCCCTCCCATTAGCCCAGTACCTTTAGACCTTTTCTTCCTATTACAAAATATCAATTATACATTTTGACACTTATTTACTTATCACACCAGAGAAGCTATATGGCATTTACACATATGAGTCCTCTTAATTTCACTTAAGAGTATGTCCTCACTGTGCATCAACTTAGCTATAAATGTCTCTAGTTTCTCTCTCTTTATGGCTGAGTAGTACTCCATTTTATAACAAAATAACACATCTTCTTTATCCAGTCTCCACTTGATGGGCAGTTGGGCTGTTTCCAAGTTTGAGCTATTACAAACTGTAACGCTATAAAAATGGGTGAGCATATATCACTGAGGTATGATTCTTTCAATTCTCTTGGAAAGGTACCCAGCAGGGGAATAGCTGGGTCAAATGGGACCTCTACTCCCAGCTCTTTGAGGTGTCTCCATATTGATTTCCATAGTGGTTGGACCAGTCTGCACTCCCACCAACAAGGGAGAAGGGTTCCTTTCTCCCCCACACCCTCACCAGAATTTGTTATTGGTTGATTTCTTGATAGCAGCCATTCTTTGTGGGGTGAGGTGGAATCTCAGTGTTGTTTCCATCTGCATCTCTCGAATGACCAGTGATACTGAACATTTTTTCACATATTTATTTGCTGCTTTTACTTCTCTGAGAAATGTCTGTTCATTTCAGATGCCCATTTTTGAATTGGTTCTTTATATTTGGGGGGTCTTTATATTTGATTTTTTTTTTAGTTCTTTATGTAATGTAGAAAAGACCACTAATTTTGGAGTCACACACCTGGATAGTACAGTCTTCATTTCCCACCAGTGTGGCTGGAGATACACGTCTGAACCACAGGGTGCAGGACAGCAGTTGCCTAGGTTACTGGACATCTTTGACAAAAACATCGACTCTGTACTTAGGCCTGCAGATGCCTGAGGGGAGAACGGACTGAGATAAAAATATGCCTTGGCATCTCTGTCTTCATCTACGTCTCTCTCCTTTGAGTGAGAGTCTACACAGCTATGGTGAGATTCTACCCAGTTCCGCATGCAGGCACGTCAACTGGCTGGTTTTCTTCTACCCCACCCTTGTGCTCTTTCCAACAGCTGAACACTGAACTCCTGCCGCCTTACATAAGGATCAGACGATCAGACGCACAAGCTGAGAAGTTCTGTACAGGATGATGAAGAAACACCTTTTGCAACCATGCTGCTTGGCAGTAGACTATTGGACTCTAGCCCACCCTAGCTAATCAGTAAGAACCTGGCTTTCCCTTTGTTCTGGCAGCAGCCTCATCCACTGCTGTTGAACAGTGCTGGCTCCCTTCAGCCGAAGCCTCAATTAAAGTCTGGCCTGCGTATGTGCTTATAGTGCCTGTCCCCCATTTCTGTCACTTCTAAGTCCAAAGATCCTGTCCAGTAACATGTCACAAACCCAAGCCTCTGCCGTCCAGGGCTGACAGTGGGAAAACAAACTCAAAGGATCAGGATGAACTCAACTTCACTAGGGAACCAAGGGATGGATCTCCTCAAGGGTCCATTTTCCAGTGAAAAACTGGGAACAGGAAGGTGACAGCCACATGGGGATGTTGGATAGCATGACTGTTCACACCCAGAGTGTCCATCAGCTTTCCACCACTGTAATAAAGACCTGAGGTAATCGACTAACGAAGAAGAAAGGCTCATCTGGGGTCACGCTTTAGGAGGCTGCAATCCATGACTGAGGAGCCCCTTTGCTGTGGGTCCTGTGGCAGCACAGCATGGCAGGGGCTCATGGCAGAGGAAGCCTAGTCACCTTGTGGCTGGATGCAAGAGAGACCTGGGAGGGCAAGGAGCTGCGGTCGCGCAGTCCCTTCCATGGCACACCCCCAGTGACTGCAAGACCCCCAAGGTCCATCTGCCACCCGCCAGTAGCATCACACCGGGAGCACGCTTTTAACGCAAGGCCTCCTAGGGCCACTTCTCCAAAGCAGGGGCCACAGACCCCACATGCCCTCCACCACAGCTCTCCTCGGGTTATCTCTGGGCTGTTGGGCTTGCACGACCTGCCCATCCAGCAACTTCTCCCAGCTGAGCTCCCATATTAAGCCCATGCTGAAGTCAGCTCCCTCCGATGGGGCCTTTGCAGGTTCACTGCCGTATTCCCAACCCCCAGAGCAGAGCCGGGCACGCGGTAGGCATTCCGTGCTTAATGAATGAATGGACAAAGGAATCAGAGTGATCCTCCCGACAGCCCTGAGTGCCGCTGCGTGGAGATGCGAAGCCGGAGGCACAAAGAAATCTTGGGTTTGTTCACACATTTGTTCACGCGTGCACACGCCAGAGCCTGGGTGCCACGCTCCCTGATGTGTGCAGGGACCCACACGCTGGAACACAGCCTGGCTCCCTGCCCTGGGAGCTCACAGCCCAACAGGTGGGACAGCATTGCACCCACGACAGGAGACAGGAGCCTTGATCTGGGCCTCAGTTTCAGTGGTCTGCCTGCTCCTCAGAAGATATTTAAAACTGAATAAGGGGATTTTTGAAGATATACACACACATTCATGTGCACACACACGGGGGGAGAGAGAGAGAGACATGGAGAGAGAAGTGGTAAACAAGCCCTGAAACATCTCCCCAGGGCTCCTTGTGCGTGTATCACTTCGTTCTTTCTGGTCCTCCTGCTGGCTCCCTTGAACACTTGGGTCTCTAGCAAAGTTTCTAGTTCAGTCCAATTCTGCACTTAAGACGACCACGTACGCCTCCTGCCCTGTGCTGTCTCCCAGTATTGGGTGCTCTATTTTTACGCCACAGGGTTCCTTCTTCCTCCCTCACCTGTTCACTAGCCCCTGCCAGGCCAGCGCTGTCATGAGGCCAGTGTCTTCCTCTGGACGCAGAGGTGGGGACAGCGCTCACGGAACCGGGAGACGACTTTGGCCAGTAGGTGGGCAGCAGGTCCAGGTGCCGGCCCTGCCTTAAGCCTCTTTAAGAATGGTCGCCAGGGTCCCCAAAACCCAGTGAACAAAATGAACGAGGAGTTGCCACACTAGGGCCGTTTACAGCGAAAAACCAGAAGCACTGGTCATTCAGCCAACACTGGCCAGCTGCTGGGCCTGGCACCTGCAGACTGAGAAAACAGGCCCTGCCCTACAGGAACCCGTGGTCCTCAGGGAGACCGGGGCACAGCTGGCCACATCTCTGAGGCACCTGGGAGGCTGTGCCCAGGTGCCAGGAAATCTGATTTGAGCAAACCCACACCCTCCCTCAGTGCCGTTGTGTTCGTCTTAGTCTCTGGCTGACTTCTCCCCCTCCCTCTTCCTGCGTACCCTTAGGGCCTCTCCTGCCACTGACTCCCCCAAGCATCTGCCAAAGTCCCCTTCCAGAGACGCTGCACTCTTCGGTTAGACAGAACCCTGGCGAGATGTCAGAGGGTCCCTCCCGCACCCACGGATGCTAGGAGTCAACAGGGGCAGCCCTTCCCGGACCAGCCGCAGGAGGGACTCAAGGCCAGCCGGGATTGACAGAAGGAACGGAGATTTGGGGGTCACTTGCTCAAGGCCTCCTGGCCAGGAGCAGCATCTGAAGGAACCAACCCTGAACCAATGGGGGTGTGGTCCGCTGAGTTTCCATTCCTGTGACTGCGTGGACGCTCTTCTAAACACAGGAAAGGTTCTCTGCCAGATCGCATCCTATTTCTCCGTCTAAACTCCACCCAGGTTCCCGCATCTTCCTCCTCTCTTCTCGCCAACCCACTGGACGTCACCATGTGTACCAGGCAGAGTCCTGGGGTAAGCCACTCCATCCCAGCCTTCTGTGTTTGAACTCTGGGTTAGGGAGGGTAGGGCTGTGGCGGGGTGGAAAGTGGAGGCGAGGGCTTGGAGGGCGCTGCGCTCCAGGCCCAGGTGGGGGAAACTGAGGCCACAAGGGGAGAGAGAGCGGGGAGAGGCGTCAAATGCACTGGGGCCTGACCGAGGACCCAGGCCCTGGGTTCTTCTCCTCCGTCCTGGCCGCAGGGCTGCTCAGAACCCTGCGCTGGCCCAGTCAGGCAGTGCCAAGCCCGCACAGCCACTCAGCCTCCACGCCCTCATCCGAGGGGTGGGATGCGCGTCTCCCCACTGCTTCAGCCACGGAGCACCCTGAGGCTGGGTCAGGGGGATTTGCCCAAGGTTGCCGAGTGCCCCCCAGGCAAACCCAGGCCTCCAGGAGGCCTCTACCACTTCTGCCCCAAGAGGAATCTGGGCCACTGCTCCTCATGCAGGCCAGGGGGACGGACTGACTATTCCCAGCTGTGCAGCGCTGGGCTCCGTTCCTGCCGTCCTCACTAGGAACCGTCCTGGGAATCCCTAAGCCAGGCCACAGCATCCGGTGGGGGTGGGGGCTCTGCTGATCTCATGGATGGAGGCAGGAGTAAGACACCCACATCAGAGTCCGGGTCTTCAGCACTGGATGGGCAGGTCCGGGGAAGGGCAGAGCTGCAGGACCAGCTGCCAATGCTGGAGTAAGAACTCTTTTGCAGGTGATCAGGGAACTGAGAGAGGCAGGCTTGGGGCCTGACAGCCGGCAAGGACTCACTGGCCAACTCCGCTGGTGCCCGGCTCAGAAGCAGCTCCCAGCAACGCCCCACTGCTGGAGACTGGGGCTGGGCCTGGGGTTGTGCCTGCTGGCCAGCACGGGCCTCTGGGCCCTGTGGTGAGTCCCCCATGAGTCCCTCCCTCCTACCCACCCCACGCTCCTCCCTGCCCCTGCACGTCAACTCCAAAACCTTGATTCCTGCACCCACAGATTTCCAGCCCCCAAGAACCTCTCCCAGCCCAGCCCTATTAGCCAGTCTTAGCTTCTGTGTTCTGCTTTGTAGTGGCCTCTTGGCCTTTGATTTGTAACGTCTTCTACCTAGATTATCCTTCAGCCCATGCTGACCAGGCACTCCCGTCCCCAATCCCAAATTCACTCCAGCCCTGTGCCCTTCTGGGAAGTTCTTAGAGCTGCACCTCACCCTGCTGTTTGTGCCTGGGCCCTAGGGGTGAATGACTGCGGAGGTGAACGGCTCACTCCACGCCAGGCCCTGTGCCATGTGCAGGCAACTGCGGGAGGCTTGGTTCTCTGAGGCTGGCCAGACCCTGGAATGAAGATGCCCCCCAAACGCACTGTTGAGGGCATTCACTGCAGCAACACACACTGTGTGGGTGTCAGACCCCGGAACAGAAAGCAGACCACAACTTGTTTCCTTCTAGGGTGTGTGCAGAGAACTGGCTGCCGGTCTCCTCCGTCCCCTACTACCTCCCCTGTCCAGAGATCTTATAAGTATGGGGCCAGGGGAACTGGGGCCCCTGTGGGGTGCTCACATCTCGAATCAGAGATTTTAAGATGGTACTGTCCGCAGCCTTCTGGATCCACAGTGCCTGGTTCTGAGAAATGTGGTAGCGTTTAGGTAGCTTATCGGCTGCCGTGAATGCGGCGTGATTTCGCCATTTTGGTCGCAGAGCGTCCTTGCAGCCCTGTCATGGGTGGGTCTTGGACCTGTCGCACAGCTCTGGGTCTCCCTTGTAAAGTGGGAGCGTAGCGGGCCCCTCCTGGGCCCCTGGGAATGTGGAGCCACATGAGGCCCTATCAATGACCGATAATGGCCTGCAGTTGCCCTAACGCACTGTAGGTGGCCAGTCTGGGTTTGTTGGCTCAATTTTGTGTTCTGTGAGTATTAGGGGAATAAGTCAACATTTAACTAAATGAAATCTGGCTCCTTGACAGCTAGGAGTGAAAAAGATGGATTGGGACAACCTCAAGGGGCACTTGGCAGCACAGGCTTCTATTTCTGGTGACAACTAAAGGGACGTGGAACGAGTGGGTTGTTATTAGACTGCCACTGAACCAGACACTTTTTTTTTTTTTTTT